TACTTTTAACAGTTTTATGCATGAAGCAAAGTTAAGTACTTATGTGGAATTTTCCACTTGTGATGACATGTCGGTGCTCAAAAAGTTTTGGATTTTGGAGCAACTTGGGTTTTGGATTTCTGGATTAGGGATACTCAACCTATGTAAGTATATTGGCTCAATCCTTGAAAGAGTTAGCCTTGTACTAAACCTGTGAATTTTAATTTTAAAAAGAAGCTTCAAAAACCTTTCTGTATGGTATTGCATTGAGGCTTCTAATGTCACCTCACCATTGACATTGGCAAATATGATGTGATTTAAAATTAATCCCATAACAATGTTGATGTTTGTTTTAGAAAAATACTCTGTTATTTAAGTCTGTATGAAAGGATGCAGTATTTCCACCCTGGATTAGCAGTGGCATGGGTTAGGGAAGCCAAGAAAAATTGCCACTTTGTTTGATTTGGAACCTCACATTGTGATTGCATCATTTTGTCTGAGAAATGATGAGTTCGTAAAGTCCCTCTCTGTCACACATCCACACTCATGCAGATGCACAAAACAAATTTATTCAAGGATTTATATATATATACGTGTGTGCGTATATGTATACACACTTCAGAACCAAATATGAATGATTTATGGCACATCTTTTTAAAAAATGATCTGCACCATTATCATCTACTAGCTTGATGATAATAGAATTGAATATACTTTATGTTTACTTTCACTGGTTCAGATGCCTTAAATACGTCATACACAGAATTGTTTGTTTAAAACATGTTAACCCTAAAAAATATTAAGCTTGGTATCAGTATACTTATAGTTGTTGCTTTTAAAGATTTAACGTAATAACTTCTTCTTTTTGTTTCAAAATATTAAGGGAGTACAGATGTTTTTTGTTACATGGATAGCTTTTATAATGCTTAAGTCACCTGTCACCCAAGTAGTGTTCATTATACCTGATAGGTAGGTTTTTACCTCTCTCCTCCCCCCCCTTCCCTTAACATAATTTCCATTCTAAGTGTTTATTAAATTTGTTGAAAAGAATATGAAAAATATCTTTTAAAATAAGTATTGATTAAGCAATTAATGTAAGTTGGAAGCTTTCATCATTCATGGCAAGAACCAAGTTTTATTCAATGTCTAATCACTACTATAAGTAGAAACTCATTGACTTACTATGAATGAAGGAAGAATTATTTTTATTTACTGCTGGAAATAGTGAAGATCTATTTGCTTTTTAAAAAAATAAATTTTAAAAGGTTTTTAAAATGATACATGGATATGGTATTGAAAAATTAAATCATAGAGAAGAGCTCACTGTGTTAAGGAGGCTCTTTGCCCCACTCCTGTTCTGCTTCCCAGAGAAAACCATATTTACTCTTTTAACTACATTTGCTTTTTTGGTCTTCCTAGGATGACTGCCATTTATCTAAATAATATACTTACACAGTTATTTATTGAACTATCAATATTAGACACTATCTGTTGACTTATTGCATTGAGAGTTAAGGATTTACTTCAGTTTGCACCATCTGAAGACATTAAGATTGTTTTTAAAACTGTATGCACCCAAGCACTCTGGGAGGCCAAGGTGGGAGGATCACTTGAGGTCAGGAGTTCGAGACCAGCTTGAGCAAGAGCAAGACCCTGTCTCTACTAAAAATAGAAAAAAAAATTATCCGGGCAGGGTGGTGCATACCTTATGGTCCCACCTACTTGGGAGGCTGAGGCAGGAGGATCACTTGAGCCCAGGAGTTTGAGGTTGCTGTGAGCTAGGTTCATGCCATGGCACTCTAGTCCCTGCAACACAGTGAGACTCTGTCTCAAAAACAAAAGAAACTGTATGCAGGC